ACTTTATGACACTTCAGAACAACAATGCTCCCAGGCACTTAATAAACCAAAGAAGCCAAACCAAATACCTCCCACTGTCCCACATGGCGCTGATTATTCTTTACTGTGATAAATCCAGGTCTGCACAGTGTAGGAAATCACACAGAGGAGTATGTAGTCCTGTAGTGCCCAAAAAGATAATGACAATCCCCAGACTGGTGGGATTGGCCAGCAGTACTGTACAAGCTCTATTATGTTGCAGAACTTGCCACAGAGGGATCAGAGGTGACTTCTGCTATGCAATAATGCTCTTTGATCTTGTTTAATCCGTGTTACCCACTTGGAGTCAGCAGTGGATGTGGCTGCATCCAAGTGTTCTCCAGAAGGTCCATATTGCAGAGCAGAAACTCAAATCTCTAACCCATTTCTGATTATTGCTAAACAAACCACAAAGCTGTTACTGGCCCCTTGGAGGGCAACACAGGACTCCTTGAATGTACAGGTGCTTTGCCACGTCTCTGCCTTAAAAAAAAAAAAACCCTTCACAAAGCACCTGGAAGTCACAGAAGTCTGAATCCACACACAAGGCCCCAAAGTCTTGCTTTGGACCATATAGTAGGGGGGGTTATTTTTGGAAATACACCAGTCCTTGTGGCATTTTCGACTTTGTGTCCTGTTCAGGAATTGGAAGCTGTAGGTCTAAATGCCTTATCAAAGGCCTTCATCTAAATAGAATGATCCAGTTTTAGCTTCTGCCTAATTTTCCTCACATGTAACATTCTGTCTTCCTGTGGTTCTCAGGGAAAGTCAGTCTTTGCTGCAAAACAACACTCACAGTTACCAATGGGATAGAACAATCTGCAAGTAGAAAACGTGAAGCACAATGTTGCAGGAAACAAAGCCTGAAGGAAGCTCAAGGGTGGGAAAATGGAATACTGACTTGGATTATACTCTCCATTTAAAAGTGAGAGGAAAATCTAGATAGAGAAAGGAGGTTTCACATAGGAATTAAAAATTATCCTACAAATATGTCCTCATTCTGACCCCTCTAAAGCCCTATTCAACTCTGCAAAAATATCACAGGAGAAGGTAGCGAATAATGATCATATAGAGGAAAGAAACACATTTGTTTGCTCACCACCATTCTGAGAAGATATATAATTGCATAAATAGTACAGGACTGATAAAGAGACAAACTACAAGAGGAGCAGTCCTCCACCAGAGACTGGGTTATTGAACTCTGCACTTGGGGAAATATCTTCCCTTCTTCTATCACACACACTGGTCCACAAAAATGTGACTTTGCTGAAGTCCCATTGACAGCTGTTGACTCACAGCAGAACTGGAATGCAAAGCTGTGCCACTCACATCTCCTGCCTTCCACACCAGCTATAACATGACAAAAGAGGCACTGAAGAACAAGGCCTTGCTAAATATACTTATAATTAAATGTACGTAAGGGGAGGGGAAAGAAAAAATGAGATGAGCAACACAAGGAAGCATTAAGAGTGTTCTCAGAGAAACTCACCAGGAGGACATCTCAGTCAATACCAATGAAATCCAGGTAGCTAATTCTATTAGAGATACACCAGAGTCCACACCTAAGACTAAGATAGGACCTGGATGCATCCAAGCTGCAACAGGGCTTTAGGAAGTCAGAGGATTAGTTCAAAAAGGTCCTTTATAAGCTTCAGCCACATAGTAAGTAGTACGGTGAACCTTGACATCAAACATCGTTAAAGACAAACTTCAACAGCTTCCTATTAAACCACTTTTGATAATACCTCTGAACAGGACTCCTTAAGTAATCTAAATCATTCATTAATGACATCTAACCATGTGTCATCCTTCTACATGCAGAGTGAGTGGACAAAAGCTCTGTTTTCAGAGCTCTACCATTGCCTTTGAAAACAGGGAAATCAGGATCACAGAAAAAATGGCACAGGCCTTGACACACCATGAAATCAAACTATTGTTCAGACAAAAACTCAGGAATTCAGCTAATTGCCTAGTTTGAATTCAGCCTCTCACCCTCTTTGCTCTACATTCACAGCCTTTAGTCACACCATGGACAAATCCAACTCCTGGCCATATGTCAAGCACAAGTGAAAAAGCAAGTGACATTCAGGTGAAATTCAGCAATATCTTAGGGAACCAGAAGTCTTTGTCTTGGCAGCTAAACCCCTTCAAGACAGGAGTACAAACTGTTAATTTAAGCAGGCCAGTTTTCAAGGACTATCATCCAAACTGAGGCCCAGCTTTAGAACAAGGAAAGAATGACAAACGCAGGGAAGTGAAGGAATCATAACCTAATATGTCAGGCTCTGTCAAATGGAGCAGGTACACAGGAGGAGGATCTGGTATTCAGAGGCACAGTTCTCCAGGGGATTCCTTTGGAGAAAAAAAATGGGAAAACTACCTTTCCAGACAGACATGACTGAAAGACTCTCCTTAGGGAGAACAAGGATCATAACACAGACACATGCATAGGAACCTAAAATGTTCCAGTGGACATAAACTAAACATGGCTGAGTTGGAGTGTCAGTCTTCAGAATCAACTCAGACACCATCATTCTTCCTCAGCACATGGGCATTTTGGAAGATATGTGACTCTGCAAAGGTTAATGCAAAGTTTATGTCTGCCTCCCCAAACCAGCATTCTCAGGAAGAGCTCTATCAGACAAGGCAGGATTCAATGAGTAAGTTGCTCACAACTACTTCAAACAAATAAATTCATGACCAAAATACCCTCCCACCCCCTTCATTCCCACCAGTCTTCAACATCATATTAAACCCACTCTTGATAACACCTCTGAAGGGGATTCTTTAAGCAATGTAAATCCCTCATTCACAACCCCTATCCATGAATCATCTCTCTAAATGCAGAGCTATTGCAAAAATGCTCTATTATCAGAGGACTACCCTTGCCTTTCAGGACAGGGAAACCAGGGGCACAGAAAAGATGGCACAGGCCTTGGCACCAGGCACAACATCAGACCACTGCTCAGCCAAAAACACATTCATCCTCCAGTTTTCCCAGCAGGAAGCCAGCCTCTCATCCTTCTTGCTCTGCACCCACAGCCTTTACTCACACATTACAGGACATAACCTTGGCTGATACTTTATATGAGCAAGACCATTTAATAACATCTGCAGGCAGGTCAAGGCTGGGAAAAGCTTAGTACAACCACCATGGAACTCTGCATCACAGCCATACAGGGAAATATAGATGGGAAAATGATGTTTCATGCAGCAGCTCTTAGACACAGAATCTCTGAAGCATGTTTGCACTTCCATGGGTATTTCTTGCAGACAAAGTCATCACAGGATTGTCCTCTCCTTCCTGGATGCAGGAAAAAGGCACCTGGTGTGAGTGGCACAGGCCTTGGCACTTGCCAACATGATAGCACACCCACACAGGTGGACCATACAGCTCCCTTTCCCTGCTTTAGGCCAGTCTCTGGCTGATCTTGCACTGACTTTACATCCTGAGTATGTGGCAAGCAAGAGCACTGGTACTAGTGACATTTTCAGACACACACGGGCCCACCTTTACCTCATCACAACAAGCAAAGCAGAATTTAACTACCAGCCACTGGGAACAGTGTGCAGTAGGAAAGTAAACTGATGAACCCACAACTTGGCCACAACTTTTTCACCTTGTCCAAACATTACACAACAAAAAAGCTGCGTTTGCAAACAGGCATCACGGAGACAAAAGTCGCGGGCACAGTTTCTCCTTAGAGAAGAATGAAGGTCAAAACACTAACGCCGGAAAGAGAGTTCTTTGCTCATCACTACTCTAAGAAATGTAATACCTTCTCAAGTCCAAAAGTGTTATAAAACCCTGTCATCAAAGTATCAGCTCAAAGACACCACCATCCTTCTTCACCCCCAGGGCAATTCGGCAACAACTTCAGCAGAGCTGATGAGATACTATCAGATGTAAAGACCTACAGTTGGATCCTCACAATGAGCAAGGCAAATGTTAACACCTGCAGAAATGAACCAGTCAGAACATCCTCTTCAAGGTTCCAGCACAGGTATTGAGTAGGGAACTTGAGGTGTTGTTTTAGCACGAACCCCACTCAGACACGAATGCCAGAGCAGAACTGAGGTTTCTTTCAAAACACTTCGGTTTAAATACGGCGCTTAAACATGTCACATGATCTTTCAACCAATGACAATCAAATATTGATTGAGCATGCGTGAGAACCCACAAAACTACAACTCCCATGTATCCTTGTCACATTTTTCCTGCCACAGGAACCAACAACGCTTTTGCTCCTCCCAAAGGTGTCACTGTCACATTTATAAGCAGTACATCTTTAAGCAATTAGTGAAATACATCATATCGACCTGCAGACTAAGAGAAGTACAACACCAAGGCTCCCAATACTTACTTTCCCAAGTAAGAAAGAAACTCATATTGTGTAATAATGAAAATGGACAGAAAACCCCTAAAAATGAACACTTTTTTTTTACCCTCATAATATGCAAACAGGTTTGCCATCTGCAGTTCAAAGAAATATCAACATTCTAAAGGCAAAGGACAAGCTGTTCCCCAGGAAAAACTGTGCCAGTGAACAACCTGAAACACAGTAATGACGTAATAAAAACTATAGATGAACCCCCAGTAAGAAGAAGATTCCCCGCTTCTGCCTCCTCCGCGTGTAAACCTGGGTAAGGAAAAGACGTCTAGATCCTCCCTACGAGTAACACAGATCACGGGGTGAAAGAGCAAGAGAGTAGCGAAAGGAAACGTCGCCGAAACACTCGACTTCAAAGGAACTCACCGGCAGAGGGGCGGGGTCCGCCTGCTGGGCACCGGCAGGTTCCTCGTCTCCGAGCAGCGGCGCGGGCTCGTCGGGCGGCGGCCGGGCCGGCAGGGTGTCGCAGCAGCTGTCGGCCGAGAAGCGGAGGTGGCTCTTGCGCGAGTCGGCCGTGAGAGACACGTCGTGCGAGTAGGAGTGCAGGAAGGCGCGCACGCCGTCGATGCCCACGAAGTGCGTGGCCGGCACGCCGCGCAAGGCGCCGCTGCCCGCCGCCAGCAGCTGCTGCTGCGAGCGCCGCCAGCGCCGCAGGCGCAGCGCCAGCAGCAGCAGCAGGAAGGCGACGAAGAGGCACGACACGGCGGCCACGGCCAGCACCAGCCAGCGCGTCAGGCTGCCGCCCGCCTCGCCCGCCCCCGCCTCCGCCTCCGCCCGCGCCGCGCTGCCCAGCTCGGCCAGCAGCTCGGCCACGCTCTCGGCCAGCACCACGCTCAGCGTGGCCGTGGCCGACAGCGCCGGCCGCCCGTGGTCCTTCACCAGCACCACCAGGCTCTGCCGCGCCGCGTCGCGGGCCAGTGGCGAGCGCGCCGTGCGCACCTCGCCGCTGTGCAGCCCCACGCGGAACAGCCCCGGCTCCGTCGCCTTGGCCAGCTCGTACGACAGCCACGCGTTCTGACCCGCGTCCGCGTCCACCGCCACCACCTTGGCCACCAGCGCGCCGGCCTCGCTCGACCGCGCCGCCAGCTCCACGCCCGACCACACCGAGCCCGACAAAGCCGCCCCCGCCGCCGGCGGGTACAGCACCTGCGGCGCGTTGTCGTTCTCGTCCACGATCACCAGCCGCACCGACACGTTGCTGCTCAGCGCCGGCGAGCCGCCGTCCTCCGCCCAAACCCACAGCCCCACCTCGCGCACCTCCTCGTAATCGAACGAGCGCAGCGCGTACAGCGCGCCCGTCTCCGCCTGCACCGACACGTACGACGACAGCGGCCAGCCCCGCACACCACCCTCCCCCAGACGGTACCGCACGCGCGCGTTCTCCCCCCAGTCCGAGTCCGTCGCCCGCACCCGCAGCACCAGCGCGCCCGCCACGTTGTTCTCCGACAGCCGAGCGCTGTAGCGCTCCTGCGAGAACACCGGCGCGTTGTCGTTCACGTCCAGCACCCGCAGACACAGCACCCTGCTGCTCTGCAGCGACGGACCACCGCCGTCGGCCGCCCGCACCGTCACGTTGTACTCCGACTCCTGCTCCCGGTCCAGCTCTTTCGCTGTCACCACACGGTAGTAGCTGCCCTGCGAGCTCTCCAGCCTGAACGGGAGGCTCCCGTCGAGGGAGCAGCGCACCTCGCCGTTGGCCCCTGAGTCACGGTCCTGCACATGCAGCAGGGCTACCACAGTCCCCGTCGGGGCGTCCTCCGAGATCGCGCTCAGGGCCGATGACACTGTCAGTTCGGGTGCATTATCGTTGATATCTGTAACGGTGATCGCAAATTTAGCAGTGTCGAAAAGTGCTCCACCATCATGCGCCTGCACCTCCAGTTCATAGTAGTCCCCTTCCTCGAAGTCCAAGTTCTGCAGCAGCGTGATCGCTCCCGTCTCAGGATCCAGCTGGAGTATCTTCGAGGCTTTCTCCGTGATTTTTTTTAAAGAGTATTTCACTTGCCCATTCAAACCCTCGTCTGCATCTGTGGCCGTGACGGTGACCAGGACGGAGCCCACGGGCACGTCCTCCGGCACACGCACCGTGTACTCCGCCTGGCTGAACACGGGCGCGTTGTCGTTCGCGTCCAGCACCGTCACGCGGATCCGCGCCGTGCCCGTCCGGGACGGCTCGCCGCCGTCGCTCGCCCTCAGCACCAGCTCGTGAAACGCCGCCTCCTCCCGGTCCAGCGCCTTCGCCAGCACCAGCTCGGGACGCTCATCCCCGCCGGGGCCCGTCTGCACGGCCAGCGAGAAGTGCTCGTCGCCGCTCAGCTCGTAGCTCTGCAGGGAATTCTGTCCAGAGTCGGGGTCGTGAGCCTCGGCCAGGGGAAACCGCGACCCCGGGGCTGTCGTCTCGCTATTTCTCTCTTCCACTTCTGCCTCTCGGAAGCTGGGCGAGTTGTCGTTAATGTCCGTGATTTCCACTTCGATTTTATAAACCTTCATTTCCGCCTCCACTATCAGCTCACAGCGCAGCACGCATTGCTCCACCAGCCGGCACAGCTGCTCTCTGTCGATCCTCTCGGCCGTCACTAAATGTCCCGTCTTCCCGTGCAGACCAAAATACTGTGTCCTACCTCTGTCTACAACTCGGACGCCACGGTCTGAGAGCGCCGGCAGCTGCAGCCCCAGGTCCTTGGCCACGTCGCCCACGAACGAGCCCTTGGGCATCTCCTCGGGCACCGAGTAGCGCAGCTGCCCCCACGCCGCCTCCCAGGCCGCCAGCAGGACGCCCCACAGCAGCACTCGCTGCCGCCGGCCCCAGCGCCTCCCCGCCGCGCACATCTCCGCCGCCGCACCGCCGGCACCGCAACACCGCCGGCAGATCCCCGCCGCCGATCGCCGATCCGGCTCCCGCTCCGGCTACGACTTGCCGTTCCCGGCTGCTGTCGCCGACCCCTCTGCCTCGCTGTATCTCGGATCCGCACCGCCGGGACGATCGGAAACAGACCGCTTCCCGACCCAGGAATCCAGCGATCCAGCGATCGAGCCGGGCCGCAGCGGGCGGGGCTGCAGCGCTCCGACCTTCCTCTCGCTCCTCTCGGTCAACAGCGGCGCCCGCAGCCTCCTCCCGGCACTGCACGCACCGAGCGCCAACGAGACATGCCCGCCCTGCCTCGCCCACGGGAAGCTCAAAAAGATGGCACATTCGCCGCGGAAATGTCGGGTCCAGTACAGTGGAGACCTGACGTTATGTTCTTTCTACCGCACGGGAAAACATTCATGTTATTGTGATAATCTATAGATACAAAGTTCTCTAAATATGGCGTGCAGAGTATTATGAATCTGCTACTCCATAGTAGAAAAGGACAACATGTTCCCTGCAACTGCAGAGCATTTGTGTCAGTCGTTCTCTACGGTTTCCTCTCCGAGCGTCAACACTCGGACACCTCAAGCCACAGTAGATTCCCAGGCCCTGAGCAATTGCACATAGCAACAATGAAGACACCTTCTCAAAAGCAGCAATTCTAGGGACTGCCCTTCCTTCTCTCTTTTTTACTTTTCACTTGCACATCCGAGGCTGCTCTGAACCAGCCTGCATTGCTCTCCTCCAAACAGTACTTCCCAATTTTTTATTACACCCTAAACATAAGGCCCTGCTTTTGCATACAGCTTAGTGCTCCATTCTTGATCACAGCCTTAGCGAGAGATGCTATCAAGCATTTCTGAGATCACATTCAATCTGCCTATAGAAAACAATCTCAGGAACGGTAAATAGGAAGCAGTCAAACTCTGAATGAGAAAAAATCGCAGAAAGAGAACAAAGAAATAAAGCTCTGATAAAATAAATTGATCTCACTACAACTTGCCTTTTCTGTAGCCCACTTACACCAAAAAGTGGGACGGCACAGGGTGGAAGGTAGGCATTTTCCTTAGGGAAGAACAACTGTCCTTTCCTCTAGCAACTTTCCTTAAAACTCCAAAATAACAAACAGGTCACAGTGTATCTACACGGTACAGAAGGATCAGGAAGGCAAAATCTCATTATTGAGCGTCAATCACATTGCCAACTCCACAACGCGGAATTAACAGATCTCTGTCTAAGTTATAAGTATCGACCTTCACCGGGACTAACCCACACTATTTCACACAACAAAAGCTTTGCAGAAAAACCTGAGCAGTTGAACAAAGAGGTGCTGTCGTTACGTTACTGCGCTAAAAGGAAAATTAATAAAAGCAGAATGTAGAAGCAGACCTTTACAAGTAGTCTACGGTTTTCTGCAGCATAAGCTGAACAACAACAACCTCCCAACTGAGCCGACATCTGTGACAGCTCATGAGGCAGGAAGTGCCGGTTCGCAACGCCTGCTGCCTAAAAAGGGGCAGAGTTATTAATCCGCGCTTATGGAAACAGCGACTGGCACTAACTGCACCAGAACAGACACAAACCCCAAGAGCCCACTGCCACCTGCATACCCTTAGGAAAACCTCAGAAAGAGGGAGTGAAGGCTCTTACAGACCTGTGGTGCATCGAGGTCGGCAGGCGGCTGTTCCACGACGGCGCTGTCGCTCGGACTCGGCTTCTCGCAGGGCTCCCCGGCCACAAGCTCCTCCGCGGGCACGATGGGCAGCGGCGGCGGCGGCCAAGCGGCCTCGGCGGCCAAGCGGGGCGGCGCCGCCACGCACAGGTTGTAGGAGTAGGGCAAGGTGCCCTCGCAGAAGTCGGCCGGGAAGGCGGCGCCGGCCAGCGACAAGCGCTGCGCGCCCAGGCAGCGCAGCACGCCGGGCGGCCCGGCCCGCCGCAGCCGCGCCAGCACGGCCAGCGCCACGCTCAGCACCAACAGCGCCGACAGCAGCGCCAGCGCCAGCACCAGATAGAACTGCAGCTCGCCCGCCGCCTCGGCGCCCGCCGCCCGCTCGCTCAGCTCCGGCAGCGCCTCCTGCAAGCTCTCGGCCAGCACCACGTGCAGCGTGGCCGTGGCCGACAGCGCCGGCTCGCCGTGGTCCTTCACCACGGCCACCACGCGCTGCTTGGCCGCGTCCCTCTCCGACACGGCCCGCGCCGTGCGCACCTCGCCGCTCTGCAGCCCCACGCGGAACAGCGCCGGCTCCGACGCCTGCACCAGCTCGTACGACAGCCACGCGTTGCGCCCCGCGTCCGCGTCCACCGCCACCACCTTGCCCACCAGGTACCCGGACGACGCCGAACGCGGCACCACCTCGAAAGCCGAACCCACCGAGCCCGGCGGGGCCGCTCCCGACGCCGCCGGCGGGGGCGGGTAGAGCACCCGCGGCGCGTTGTCGTTCTGGTCGAGCACGAAGACGCGCACCGTGGCCGTCGAGCTGCGCGCCGGCGACCCGCCGTCCTGCGCCCGCACGGCCACCAAGAACTCGCGGCACTGCTCGTAGTCCAACGAGCGCTGCGCGTACACCGCGCCGCTCCGCGCCTCCACCGACACCAGCGGCGCCGCGCCCGCCGCGCCCGCGCTGCCGCCCGACAGCCAGTAGCTCACGCGCCCGTTCGCGCCCGCGTCCAAGTCCCGAGCCACAACGCGCAACACCAGCGCGCCCACCGCGTTGTTCTCCCGCACGTACGCGCTGTACGACGCCTCCTCGAACACCGGCGCGTTGTCGTTCACGTCTGACACCTCCAGCACCAGCTCCGCGCTGCTCCACAGCGCCGGGCTGCCCCGGTCCCGGGCCACCACCGTCACGCGGTGCTCGGACGCCTGCTCGCGGTCCAGCGCGCTCGCCGTCACCACCTTGAACGAGCTGCCCCACGACGCCACGATCGACAGCGGCGCCTCTCCCGACAGCTCGCACGACACCTCACCGTTCTCGCCGGAGTCCGGGTCGTTCACGTTCAGCAGAGCCACCACGGTGCCGACCGGCGAGTCCTCGGGCACGGGGCTCGACAGTGACAGAATGGTGATCTCGGGGGCGTTGTCGTTCTCGTCTATGACGTCAATCTGGACTTCACAATGACCAGTGAGTCCGCCCCCGTCCCTCGCTTCCAGACCGAAGCTGTATTTATTCTTCTCCTCGAAATCGAGGGGCCCCTCGGTCCTGATCTCACCACTCTCTTTGTCGATAGAGAACAACTCGCGGATCCCGGCCGGGACGTTGACAAAGGAGTAGGAGACCCGCCCATTGGACCCCGCGTCCGTATCCGTGGCCCGCACCTGCAGCACCAGCGAACCTGCCGGCAAATTCTCGGCCACTCGCGCGTCGTAGACGTTTTTGCTGAACACAGGCGGGTTGTCGTTTAAGTCCGTCACGTTGACCCGAACCTGAACAGCCCCGGACCTCGCAGGATCCCCCCCATCCACTGCCGTCAGCACCAACTCAAAGGAGCTCTGCTTCTCCCTGTCCAATGCTCTCTCCAGCACTAATTCCGGCTGCTTCTTTCCACTTGTGATCTCCTTCACGGCCAGACTGAAGGACGGGTTGCTGCTGAGTTGATAAGTAAGCAGGGAATTACTTCCCACGTCCGCATCTTGGGCCATCTCCAGAGGAAAACGAGCACCTGGAACCGTCCATTCACCTATTTCGAGCTCCAAAGCATCCTTGCTGAAGGACGGGGAATGGTCATTCACGTCCTCAATGGACACCTCGACACGGAAGACGTTGAGCGGGTTGTGCACCAGCGCCTCGAAGCTGACCGAGCAGGACAACGACTCGCCGCACAGCTCCTCCCGGTCCAGCCTCTCGCTCACGTACAGGTTCCCGTTCTCCTCGCTCACCGTGAAGTATTTCAGCTGCTTTTTGCCGGCAGACGCCACCCGCAGCTTGCGCGCCGGCAGCTCGTCGGCGCTGAGCCCCAGGTCCCGGGCCAGCGGCCCCACCAGCGAGCCTCTGGGCAGCTCCTCGGCCATGGAGTAGCGGAGCCGCTCCGCCGCCGCCCGCCAGCACAGCCACAGCAGCACAGCGCCCAGCACCGGCGCTCGCCCGCCGCCCGGCCCGCCGCTCGGCCTCCGCCCGCCCGACATCGCCCACAGCGCTCGCTCGCCGAGCTCGCCAGGCTCCTGCCGCCGCCCCGCCTCCCTCGCAGCCGCTCGGCGCAGCCACAGCAGCGCCCGACAAAGCAAACCCGGACCGCCGCCGCCTCCCACTCGCACGCCTCTGCTGCCCGCGCCGCCTCTCGCCTCTGCTGCCCGTGCCGCTGCCGCTCTGGCCCGCACTGCCCGCCCGAGCCAGCAGCCTGCGGGGACAGCACGCACAGGCGGCGGCGGCGGCGGCTCCAGCAACGCTCGCCGGCGGCCCAACAGCGGCACCCGGAGGCGCCGACACAACACTGCAGCCGCCTCACGCCCGCGCTCGGCGGGGAACAACTTTGGCCCCGGATGGGGCTGCAACGGCCCTGGGGTCTCTCTTCTGGTATTATCAGCAAGCGCAGAACCTCTTGCCTAATGCTTAGCAGGAATTCTAATGATTAGAGGAAGAACACTAGTCCCATATCCATACTGAAAAGATTTTGTACTACAGTTCGTTTTTAAATAGTATGGCTCTATTATAAGGACTTTTATATCTAGTAGCCTTATCTGGTGCAAAAACTAACCAGGAAATACGTGTGCTACAGCAATAAAGAGATTCCCTCCTCCACAGTCAGAGCATAGAAAAAATAAAATCTAAAAAGAAAGTTGCTTACATGCTTTACAGATTATGTGTCACTCGTACCCCAGATAAGGTTGTGAGAAATGGCAATCAGGTGGCTAAATGTTGTCCACAGCCACCTGTGGAAGTTCATTTCCACTGTGTGTAAGGTTACCCAATATGGATAAGACCCACTGCAAATTGTAAGAAAACGCGATAGTCAGAAGGAAAACCTTGAAGACCCAGTCACAGCTCTTTTCCAGAGCCACTCAGTTCATGCCAAACCTGCCAATCTTTTCACCCTTTGCTGATATTTCATTTTCCTACCCACACATGTCTCTGAAGCCCATGCAAAAGACTTCACATTGCTCCAAAATGCTCAGGTCTGATAATGATTTAGAGCAACAATTAACACTGATGGGGAAATGTGAATCTCTCGGGTAGTGGACCTGCACTCAGACCCAAATCACTGGACTCCCTGGCAGAGGAAAAGAAATCAGAGCAGGGCAGGCTCTGCACTGAGCACATTCTGACACCCACTACTCTTCAATGGGCAGAAACTCTCAGTGCTCTTGGTGGACACTCCAAACTCCAAGGTCTGCCATAAGAATTGTTTGGACATTTCTACCACTTGGAGTTTGGGAACTTCCAGGTAAAAGTCCTATCATCTGGTCAGCACATCAAATGACAGCATGACCAGCTGAAAGCTGTACAGAGATTTCTGATGAGTCCTACACAAATCCAAAACCTCCTGCTGACCTCATTGGAACAGGTACATCAGCTCTGGGATTTTCAGTTGCTCTGACACAACTCTGCCTTCAAAAGTCATGCCCAGAGCACCTGGAAAGCCACTGAGGCCTTGAGAGATAAGGTAGGCAAACTGCACTGATTTCTAAGGGTGACTAGGTCTCCCTTAACTGGACTAGGTGACTTTATGACACTTCAGAACAACAATGCTCCCAGGCACTTAATAAACCAAAGAAGCCAAACCAAATACCTCCCACTGTCCCACATGGCGCTGATTATTCTTTACTGTGATAAATCCAAGTCTCCACAATGTAGGAAATCACACACAGGAGTATGTAGTCCTGTAGTGCCCAAAGAGATAAAGACAATCCCCAGACTGGTGGGATTGGCCAGCAGTACTGTACAAGCTGTATTATGTTGCAGAGCTTGCCACAGAGGGATCAGAGGTGACTTCTGCTATGCAATAATGCTCTTTGATCTTGTTTAATCCATGTTACCCACTTGGAGTCAGTGGATGTGGCTGCATGCAAGTGTTCTCCAGAAGATCCATATTGCAAAGCAGAAACTCAAATCTCCAACCCATTTCTGATTATCACTGAACAAACCCCAAAGCTCTAAGTGGCCCCTTGGAGGGAAATACAGGACTCCTTGAATGTACAGGTGCTTTGCCACAACTCTGCCTTAAAAAAAACCACTTCACAGAGCACCTGGAAGTCACAGAAGTCTGAATCCACACACAAGGCCCCAAAGTCTTGCTTTGGACCATATAGTAGGGGGGGTTATTTTTGGAAATACACCAGTCCTTGTGACATTTTCGACTTTGTGTCCTGTTCAGGAATTGGAAGCTGTAGGTGTAAATGCCTTATCAAAGGCCTTGTTCTAAACAGAGCGACTTAGGAGGGGCCCAGTTTTAGCTTCTGCCTAATTTTCCTCACATGTAACATTCTGTCTTCCTGTGGTTCTCAAGGAAAGTCAGTCTTTGTTGCAAAACAACTCTCACAGTTACCAATGGGATAGAACAATCTGCAAATGGAAAATGGGAAGCATATTATAGCAGGAAACAAAGCTGAAGGAAGATCAAGGGTGGGAAAATGGAATATTGACTTGGATTATACTCTCCATTTAAAAGTGACAGAAAAATCTAGATAGAGAAAGGAGGTTTCACATAGGAATTAAAAACTATCCTACAAATATGTCATCATTCTGACCCCTCTAAAGCCCTATTCAACTTTGCAAAAATATCACAGGAGAAGGTAGCGAATAATGATCATATAGAGGAAAAAACCACGTTTGTTTGCTCACCACCATTCTGAGAAGATATATAATTCCATAAATAGTACAGGAATGATAAAGAGACAAACTACAAGAGGAGCAGTCCTCCACCAGAGACTGGGTCATTGAACTCTGCACTTGGGGAAATATCTTCCCCTCCTCTGTCACATACACTGTTCCACAAAAATGTAACTTTGCTGAAGTCCTGTTGACAGCTGTTGACTCACAGCAGAACTGGAATGCAAAGCTGTGCCACTCACATCTCCTGCCTTCCACACCAGCTATAACATGACAAAAGAGGCACTGAAGAACAAGGCCTTGCTAAATATAATTAAATGTACATATGGAGAAGGGCATAGAAAAAAAAAGAGATGAGCAATGCAAGGAAGCATTAAGAGTGTTCTCATTAAGAGAGCATCTTTAAGAGAACAGCATTAAAGAGGACATCTCAGTCAATATTAATGAAATCCATGTAGCTAATTCTATTAGAGATACACCAGAGTCCACACCTAAGACTAAGACAGGACCTGGATGCATCCAAGCTCCAACAGGGGCTTAGGAAGTCAGGGGATTAATTCAATAAAGGTCCTTTATGTGTTTCATCCATGTAGTAAGTGACAGAGTGAACCTTAACATCAAACTTTGTTAAAGACACACTTGAACAGCTTCCTATTAAGCCAGTTTTGATAATACCTCTGAATGGGATTCCTTAAGTAAATGAAATCATTCATTAATGACATCTAACCATGTGTCATCCTTCTACATGCAGAGTGAGTGGACAAAAGCTCTGTTTTCAGAGCTCTACCATTGCCTTTGAAAACAGGGAAACCAGGATCACAGAAAAAATGGCACAGGCCTTGACACACCATGAAATCAAACTATTGCTCAGACAAAAACTCAGGAATTCACCTAATTGCCTAACAGGAATTCAGCCTCTCACCCTCTTTGCTCTACATTCACAGCCTTTAGTTACACCATGGACAAATCCAACTCTTGGCCAGATGTCCAGCACAAGTGAAAAAGCAAGTGACATTCAGGTGAAATTCAGCAATATCTTAGGGAACCAGAAGTATATCCAAGTCTTTGTCTTGGCAGCTAAACCCCTTCAAGACAGGAGTACAAACTGTTAATTTAAGCAGGCCTGTTTTCAAGGACTATCATCCAAACTGAGGCCCAGCTTTAGAACAAGGAAAGAATGACAAACGCAGGGAAGTGAAGGAATCATAGCCTAATATGTCAGGCTCTGTCAAATGGAGCAGGTACACAGGAGGAGGATCTGGTATTCAGAGGCACAGTTCTCCAGGGGATTCCTTTGGAGAACAAGAAATGGGAAAAGCTACCTTTCCAGACAGACATGACTGAAAGACTCTCCTTAGGGAGAACAAAGATCATAACACAGACACATGCATAGGAACCTAAAATGTTCCAGTGGACATAAACTAAACATGGCTGAGTTGGAGTGTCAGTCTTCAGAATCAACTCAAAGACACCATCATTCTTCTTCAGCACATGGGCATATTGGAAGATATGTGACTCTGCAAAAGTTAATGCAAAGTTTATGTCTGCCTCCACAAACCAGCATTCTCAGGAAGAGCTCTATCAGACAAGACAGGATTCAATGAGTAAGTTGCTCACAACTACTTCAAACAACAAGTAAATTCATGACCAAAATACCCTCCCATCCCCTCCATTCCCACCAGTCTACAACATCATGTTAAACCCACTCTTGATAACACCTCTGAAGGGGATTCTTTAAGCAATGTCAATCCCTCATTCACAACATCTATCCATGAATCATCCCTCTAAATGCAGAGCTATTGCAAAAATGTTCTATTATCAGAGGACTACCCTTGCCTTTCAGGACAGAGAAACCAGGGTCACAGAAAAGATGGCACAGGCCTTGGCACCAGGCACAACATCAGACCACTGCTCAGCCAAAAACACATTCATCCTCCAGTTTTCCCAGCAGGAAGCCAGCCTCTCATCCTCATTGCTCTGCACCCACAGCACATTACAGGACATAACCTCAGCAGATACTTCACATGAGCAAGACTATTTAATAACATCTGCAGGTTGGTCAAGGCTGGGAAGAGCTTGGTACAACCACCATGGAACTCTGCATCACAGCCATACAGGGAAATATAGATGGGAAAATGATGTTTCATGCAGCAGCTCTTAGACACAGAATCTCTGAAGCATATTTGCACTTCCATGGGTATTTCTTGCAGACAAA